CCTCTTTTTTTTTTTTTTTTTTTTTTTTGAGACAAGATCTCACTATGTAGTTCAGTCTGGCCTTAATCTCACTATGTAGCCCAAGCTGGCCTCGAATTTGAAGTGATCCCCCTGCCTCAGCCTCCTGAGTGCTGTGATTACAGGTGTGCAACACCATGCCTGGCTCTAGAGATACCCTTTTAGAAAGGGTAGAAGAGGTTCCCTCCTCCCAACAGTAGCTCCCTAGGGCCATTTCCAACTGAACCAATATTTGTGTGCATTTTGTAACAGTTATGACAGTGTAGAAATGTAAATTAATTTCCCTGGAGCATAGGGTTTCTGGAGTCATCTGTCTCCTGTTTCTACCCTTAGAGGGATGGGATCTCAGATTCTCTGAAGCTGACTGTACCCCATCCCCCTGGGGCTCTGCCGCCTTAGGAAGGTTGCCAACTACAGATCATGTGGCTAATTTCTCTCGGTCTCCTGGCAGTTTCATTAAAGTCTGAGTGACATCCTAATTAATGGCCCCAGACAGTTGCACAGAGTTGAGGCTAGAGCTCCCTAAAATCACAAAGCTTACAGCTAGAAGGGATTTGAGTCCAGTCTGCTAACTCCCTCATTTGATAGATGAAGAGAGAGTGGCTTGGGGAGGTTAAGTAATATGTCCAAAGTCACACAGCTGGCTGGTGGCATGTTTTGCCCAGGGATCAAGTGTTCCTGATTAAGCACAAGTGTTCATTCCACTACTGCACATTGTATCTTACCTCAGAACAGATGACAAGCCTGGAAAGAAGCCAGGATTTCAGAGAGGAAGAATGTGAAAGAGTCTCATTCTAGAATCACCCAACCCTGTGAGTACAAGGGAACAGAAGAAAGAAGAAGCACTTGGAGATACAAAGGGAAGAAGGGAGAAAAATGCAGGGATTAGCTGGGCCTGGTGGTGCATGCTTGTCTTTTTTTTTTTTGGTACCAGGGATCGAACTTGAGGCCTTGTGCTTACAAGGCAGGCTGTGAAACCACTGAGCCAAATCCCTGGCCCGGTATGCTTGTAATTCTGGCCCTTGGGAGGCTGAAGCAAGATCACTGTGAATTCAAGGCCAGCCTGAGGGGCTGGGGATTTAGCTCATTGGTTCGGCTGCCTGCCTCGAAAGTGCAGGGTCCCCAGTTGGATCCCTGGTATAAAACACCCCCCTACACACACACACTTCAAAGCCAGCTTGAACTACACAGTGAGACCCTGTCTCAAAAAATAAACCAAAAAACAAAAATAACTCAAAACAACAATAAAGAGACAATGAAGAGATTGACATCATCCATTTAAAAACCTTAACACTAAAACACAGAACATTTTAAAAAATAGAGCACAGAACATCACTAATGCTACATCAAAAATAGCTGATTTTGGGGGGCTGGGAATTTAGCTCAGTGGTTCAGTGGCCTGCCTTGCAAGCGCAAGGACCCGAGTTCAATCCCCAGTACAAAAAAAAAAAATGCTGATTTTTGTCGTTTCTGGAGGAGACAGAATGAAGTCCCTATCCACACTTGACAAACCTGTGAAGGCAGCCTCAATGGCTGCTGGATCCTTTACACCCTCCTATAGGAGTCTCCAAACTAAAGCCTGTGAGCCTTTTTTGCAAATAAAGTTTTATTGAAACATACCCATGTTTACTTGCTTACTATTCCTTTGGCTACTTTTGTGCTGCGACAAGAGAGTTGAGTCATTGTGAAGAAATTGTATGGCCCACAAAAATCTGAATAAGCTAAAACTTCATAGAAATGTTTTGCCAATCCCTGCCATAGTGATTTTATTGAAGCTTTCTAAATAGCTACACCCTTGTATCCAGAAAATAATTACCTTGTATTCCTGCATTTAGGAGCTTTTCTCTTTGATCTTGTGCTGCCTGTGTCTTCTTTAACCGTTATTTTCCAGTGCCACTCATGATATCGGACCACAGAAGAAATGAAGACATAAAGGCTAAGAGGTCAAGAAAGCCTCAGAGCAGATAGGTGCATTCTTAGGGTGTTGCCACACCTGACATCATTTCAGTTCGCCTTTTCCAAGTTCATGTAACTTCTACTTTTAAATTTAAGGGAGATAACTGCACGTGTACCCATGTATAAATATGGAACTGTGCGTGCACATGTGTTTCTGTGTGCCTCTGGACTTTAGTAACTCCATGGCCACATGCAAGGATGGTATTCAAAATACATACAAACCTGGCACAGACTGACAATTATGAGAGATGTCCAGCCCAGAGCACACTTGCTGTGTGCAGCCGAGCCCATGACTGCACATCCCCACTCCACCTGCTGTGGCTAAGATGGGGCCCCACCATGAGGCCCATTTCCATCTTTCTCCAGTGAGCCGCCTAGCTGATCCCTGATGCCTTTGGGCTTGTGATTTGTCCTCGAATGTGGGTCTAAATTGCAGGGAAGGCATGGACACAGAAGCCACTGAACTATTAAGGTATTTGGAATAGCTATTTGGGCTGAACATACAGAAAACCAGGCGACTGCCTTTTGAATGATTCATGAAGTTACAAACTCCTACAGAAGATTCAAACCTTTGAAAGTGGCTGTGCATTTGCAAAAATTAGATTGACCTACATGCTGGCTAGGAATACACTGTCACTTCAACCTGTGAGTGACCATGTATGAAGCACCATGTCGGGGTCTTCACATGCTGAACAGTGTATTCAATGGAACTCTTCTCATTTCAGAATTTGGACAGAGGACTTAACAGTGGGGGGAATGTAGGCATCAACTACTCATCTACATTAAGGCTTAGAAAAGGCCTTCTCCAGCCTTAGAAAAGGCCTTCGGCTGGGGATTTAGCTCAGTGGCACTGCATCCACCTTGCAAGTACAAGGTCCTCTGTTCAATCCCCAGTACCAGAAAAAAGAAAAAGAAAGAAAAGGCCTTGTTCCCCACCTCCAGACTGCATGGCAGAGAGCTAAAGGCTGACTCTACTGTACGATGTTGGTGATGATGGGGAGACAGACTCAAGTCTCACCTCCCAGCAGGACAACTTTCTGAGCAGCAGGAGGATCTACTCCTGAGCTCCCAAGTGTTCCCTTGATGAGGGAAGAAAGGTCCCTCTGGATACCCACGCTGCCTGATTTTGTACTTGTGCCCAGGTGTGAACTGGGTACTGCTGACTCAGAGGGACCGGAGCCCCCTGGCCTTGATCTTCTGTTTCCTGGGCCCAATTTCCATTTTCCCAGCCGCAAGGTACCATCCTCGTCCTATTGGGACGGCAGGCTTTAGCCCAGTCAATGCCTTCGGGGAGCGAGGGCAAGGGCACAGCGGTAACTTTTCTTTGGAAGCCTGATCCGGTGGCTTCTGGTCAGCTTTGAAGCCACTTTCATTTTAGTTTTTTTCTGAGATGCCACATTTTCCCACAATTGAAACATTTTAAATCGTTGAGTGCACCATGTATATGTTGGGAGATGGCTTTATCCATTACAGCCCATTGTCTGAAGGAGACCTAATATTTTGACATGCCTTAATATATGCTCCAAGATAAACAGGAGTGAACAGGATTTATCACCTGTTTGCAATCCTTATTAACATTTTTCATAGGCTAGCTGTAAACTCAGGATGTCCGCTGCCTGGTTATTAGAAATCTGCCTTCTAATTGTTGTAATCTCACTACAAACTCTGTGTAATCTTCCACAGGCCCTTGCATGATTTGAGTAAAAGATTGCATCAGCACGCCATCAACTGGCACAGAAGCCGAAGCCCTCCGCAGGAGGCTCTAGCTGGTGAAAGAGTAATGCCAGGCAACAGGCTTGCCTGTTTAAATCTGAAAAGTCACCCGTCCATGCCAGCTAACATATCAATAGTAACTCCTCTCAACTGAGCATTTCCCTGAGCGTTCGTAGGAGCCTGTTCCCTAGTGAATACAATCCCACCTCAAAGTGGAAATACTGAGCAGGGGATAGGCACATTTTTGCAAGGTGAAAAACATCATGCAGAACCAGAGAATGAGTCTGAAGCACACGGTCCAACAAACCCACTGTGTAAGGGCTTCGGACGCCGTTCTATAGTAAGCACGCTCTGCCGGAGCTCCTTTAGGACGTTAAAATCAAATGAGGCGTGAACAGGCAAGTCCACCTCTGGGTGGTCGGGATCAGGCAAATTTGAGAGAGGGTAGCAAGAAGGGTCTTCAACTTGCTCACTGTCATAGCCTATTGCGGGGCACGGCGACAGGGAGTGGCCCCAGAAGGGGCTTCACAGGGGAGCAGCTAGACCTTTTCAAGATATCTGAGGGGGCTGAGGGACTAGTGAACTGGCGTCCTCCTTAGCCCGCTGTGGTGGTTCAGCAGGAGATGAAAGCACACAGGGGAAGAAACCGAACAAGGGGAAGCAAGGCCAGAAGGTTGGGTGGGGCAGCAGCTGAGGTCTCCCGAACAGATGGAGAGGATTTGAGAGCAGAGTGGACTAAGGCCCGAGTGGGTAGCGTTTGATGGGAAAGACATCACCTCTTCACCGGGCCTCATGGAGAACAGCTCCTACACGTTCCCATGCTAATAGATTGATTGTCCCTTCCTTGGGACAAGATGGGATATATATTTCTATGACTTTTAGCAAATTTATCACAGCATCCTTCGGTACTGGGTACATAGCTTGCTTTAACAGTGACTTAAGCAATTTGACAAAATTACGCTGATCTGATGACAAACTGACCCCTATTTTCAACTCAGCAAAGATAGAAGGTTGC